CTGCTCGGGGAACAGGCCCAGCCCGACCTCGGTCGTGCGCTCAGCGAGACTGATGGGGCCAAGCAGGTTTGCAAAGCTCTTCGGGTCTTGTAAACCTGCGTTTTTTGCATCAAAACCACCGCGTAGCTGATATAAAGAATTTTGTGCTGGTGAACAAGACCCTGCAAGCGTTGTCTGATCAGGCGCGGCCAGGATTGCAATCGAGACCCGCCTTCGCGCTCTCCCCAGCAGAGGCGCTCGGATTGCGCTCTGAACCCGTTTCCGCACTCTTTCGAGCAGGGGCGCCCGGAATTGCAATCTGAGCTGGTTGTCGCGCCCGCCCGCGCAGGCGCGCCCAGTAATGCAATCTGAGCTCGTTTCCGCGCTCTTGCGAGCAGGAGCGTCAATAACTGCAATATGAGCTGGTTTTCGCGCCCGCCCGCGCAGGCGCGCCCAGAATTGCAATCGGAGCTCGTCGTCGCGCTCCCCGCCGCAGGCGCGCCCAAAATTGCAATCTGAGCCTGTTTCCGCTCGTTCGAATGGGGGCGCCCAGAAGTGCAATCTGAATTAGTTTTCGCGCCCCCCGCTCCCCGACGCAGGCGCGCCCAAAATTGCAATCTGAGCCCGTTCCCGCGCTCCCCGACGCAGGCGCGCCCAAAATTGTAATCTGAACCCGTTTCCGCGCTCTTTCGAGCAGGCGCCCAGGATTGCAATCAGAGCACGTGTCCGCGCTCCCCGACGCACGCGCGCCCAGAATTGCAATCTGAGCCCGGCCCCGCGCCCCCCGACGCAGGCGCGCCCAGAATTGCAATCTGAGCCCGTTTCCGCGCTCCCCGACGCAGGCGCGCCCAGAATTGCAATCTGAGCCCGTTTCCTCGCTCGTTCGAGCAGGGGCGTCCAGAATTGCAAACAATACTGGTTTTCGCGCTCCCCGACGCAGGCGCTCCCAGAATGGCAATCTGCGCTGGTCTTCGCGCACGCCCGCGCAGGCCCGCCCAGAATTGCAATCTGAGCCCGTTTCTGCGTTTGCCGACGCAGGCGCGCCCAGACCTGCAATTTGAGCTCGTTTCCGCGCTCTGTCGAGCAGGCGCGCCCAGAATTGCAATCTGAGCCGGTTGTTGCGCCCGCCCTCGAACGCGCGCCCAGAATTGCAATCCCGCCGAAAATTGCAATCTGAATTAGTTTTCGCGCTCTCCGACGCAGGCGCGCCCAGAATTGCAATCTGAGCACGTTTCCGCGCTCCCCGACGCAGGTGCACCCAGAATTGCAATCTGAGCACGTTTCCGCAATCCCCGACGCAGGCGCGCCCAGAATTGCATTCTGGGCACGTTTCCGCGCTCCCCGACGCAGGCGCGCCCAGAATTGCGACCTGAGGCCGTTTCCCCGCTCTGTCTCGAGCAGGGGCGCCCAGAATTGCAATCTGAGCTGGGTCTCGCGCCGAACTGCGCACGCGCCCCCAGAATTGCAATCTGAAGTTGTTTCGCGCTCTCTTGGAGGAACGCTTCAAAACAGCAATATGAGCACAGACACGCTCCGAACGGCAATCTGAGCATAGAAACGCCTAGAACAGCGATCTGAGCACAGAAACGCCCGAAACAGCATTCTGAGCACAAGCTCGAAATGGCATCTGAGCACAAGAACGCCCGAAATGGCCATCTGAGCGCAGAAACACCGCAAACTGCAATCTGAGGACGGAAACGTCCAGAACCAATCTGGCACACAAACGCCCAGACAGCAATCTTGAGCATGATTGGTATATGCCCTCACGCAGTCACGATCTAGCAAAAGTCGGATTGAGCGCCAGCTCGAGTAGAATTTGTTTTCAGAGGCTGGCTGAGAAAATGCAAGCAGTCACCACAATCATAATATGTATTCAATCTAAATCGGGAGAATATTCATTTCGATTCGTTATGGTTCCTAATGAAACTCAGGAGACCTGGTGTGCTGCCGCTGCTGCGATCCACCACTCTCTGCGCAGCTGCGCGGGACTCGAGATGCGGTCCAGAAATGTGGTCGTCATTGAGATGTGGGCAAGGCTCCGCTGTTGGATGCAATAGGTGAATCACGAACCATTTGGTGTCATCTAAAGCAAGCGCGCGCTCAGCCGTGCTAGGAGTGGCTGTTGGTCCTACACTGTCTACTTTCTCCCAGGATTCAACAGCAGTCGACCTGTAACATATATAATGACCGAGTTTGCGACCACGTGATTGTGGACGACACAAAACGCCAATCACGCACTCTGAATCACCAAGTTCGCAGCTTGCCGAGTGCTGCAAGCGGCAGCAAGGCAGGTGATGCTGAAACCAACCAGTAGCCGTTTCGATCAAATATCCATCTCGGTCGTAATAGCTTTCACCGTCGCCCTCGTTGCGCAGCGTGTCCTCGTCTGTTTGAAGCTGCTGTGCCATTTGCAAGAATTGCTCTGGGCTTGCGGTAAGTTTGCTGCCACACGAACGCAATATATTATTAATCGCATGGCGCAAGCAATCCACACCTGTCTGAGACTCGATCCGAGCCAGACTATTTATTCCTGATGCTGGTGTGTCCGGCTGTTTGGGGGCAGCAGCTGGCCGTTTCCTTGCTCCTGGCTCTTCGGAGACCGAATCAGCAGCCGTCGGAGCAGCTGGTCGTTTCCTGGCCGCCGTGTGCTTCCTGCTTGGTTTCTCGTCCACGCATTCAGAGGATGCCTCTGAATCACCCTCTTCGCCATCAGATGTGGCGTCCTCCTGGTCGTCCTCGCCCTGAATGCGTACTTGACGGCGAGAGACAGTGCGGCCACGAAAGAGAACAAGAACACGGTTCGGATCGGTCCCGCTCGATACGTGCGACATGCCCACCCACGCATTGCACCAATTGTGGCAGTATGCTCTCTCCTGCGCATTCAAGCCTGGCAATCGCAGCTCTTCTTCAGCAGATTTAATCCACGCTCGGAGCTTGCGCCATAACTCCCTCAGTTTACTGCTCGTTTTTCTGGGAAACCGCCGAATCCGAACAGGAGCCTCGGGCACTCCAATGTTGTCCAAAAGAACGCTTCTACGTGGGAGAGGGGGCGCAAACGGATCCTGTGTTCCAGATGCCCGCTGCTCGTTCAAAAGTAAACTCAAGTACACCAACAATTTATCGCCGAGAGGCGTCGACCTTCTATGGATGCCTTCGTTCACCCGCCAGGCAAGCTCTTGCCAGCGTTTGATCATTTCATCTAAGCTGACTTTTCCGCGGAATAATTGCAATTGTGTGCCCACTGTTTTCAGAATACCGTTGTATGCTTCGCCGAGATTACTGCTGACGCCCTCCTCTGTCACCCACTCCACGGAATGGTTGACGGTCTTGACGCAAGAATATCTGCGTGGAAGCCTGCTGAATTCTGAGCCCTGATCGCACGTCGGCACGAATGCGCAGCAACCGTCCCAAGTACATCCGCGTTGAATGTTGCGTTCTTCGTTGGCACGTGATTTGTTCGAAGAGTTTTGGGTGAGAAACGCCTGGCACCATTTTCCCAGCGAAACCCAATCACAATCTGAAACGGAATAGCATCGATCTTTCTGGGCCGCGCTGGCGCACCGTAGTGCGCGACGCGCCGGTGTGGTCCGAATGTCAGGTCAACAACAATGTCCATATCTTCAAGGATTGGGCGGTTCATTTCATACCGAACGACTGGTTCTCGCAGCTTTCTGAAAACATCTGAAACTGTCCCGCGGAAGATACTCTCAGCATGAGCTGCAGCAGCCATGGTTGTGCCGTCAAGCCAGTGGCAAACCAATCGAAGATACGTTTTGAGTGATAATTTGTTCTTCTCGAGATCGAAAGGAGTGCCGGTGAATGAAACCGACGGCTTGTTATCGCAACGGGGGCACCGAGCACATGCTATTGGTTTTGAGTGTTTTTTGCTTTGGCTCGACCGAACTCCTGGTCTCAAGACTGGGCCCGACGAATGAAATCCGCACATACCCAATGGCCTCACAATTCCAAAAGATAGTAGGTCCGCGAGGCATCCTGCCTCGCCCCGTCTGTCAACCCACGTCAAAACCTGCTGCATGGTCTTGCCCGTGCATGTGTGGAATCCCGGAGCTACTTGATCCACTGCTGTTGGACATTCCCGGTCTGCAAGAGGCAAGGGAAGCGCTGTCGGAGGTGCGACCGGCGATGAGCCCTGAATCGCACCGATTGGTTGTGGAAGTGGTGGTAATTGAATCGCAGCGACTGGCTGTGGAACAACTGCTGACGTTGACGACGCGGATGTGCTTACCATGAATTGCTCCATGTATCCTGGATGACGCGCCAAATGTGTCATTACTTGCGCGTCGGGGACCCATAATTGACAGTAGGGGCAGTGCGAAAATCCATTATTCGGCATATCAATTCTCAGACCAGCAGCGGGTGCACACAAAAGAAGAAAGCAAATGAATACAAGCATGTGGATATGGAAAGTGCAGTAGAATATGCAGAATTAGCACGCAGCTGATGCAAATGGCCATGGATGAACGATTCAAGTAAAGCAGAAGAATGGTGTCTGCGTGGAGTTGGCCCGGAATCGTGCTCTCAGGCGGTCTCAGGCGCTCCCAACCGGTTTCAGGCGGTCTCAGGCGCTCCGAGGCGTTCTCAGGCTCCCAGGCGCTCCCAGGCGTTCCCAGGCGCTCTCAGGTGCTCCCAGGCGCTCCGAGGCGTTCTCAGGCTCCCAGGCGCTCCCAGGCGTTCCCAGGCGCTCTCAGGCGCTTTCTCAGGCGCTCTCTCAGGCGCTCTCTCAGGCGCTCTCTCAGGCGCTCCGAGGCGTTCTCAGGCTCCCAGGCGCTCCCAGGCGTTCCCAGGCGCTCTCAGGCGCTCTCTCAGGCGCGCTCTCAGGCGCTCCCAGGCGCTCCCTGGCGTTCCCAGGCGATCCCTAGTCTCTCGTAAGACATGCCAGGGACCCAAGCAGGTTTACAAGACCCGGTGTCTGGATCAATCGATGCAGGTTTAAAAAACCCGATTGGGTCTTGTAAACCTGCTCAAAAACTTGTAAACCAACCAAGAAGTAAAAAAACGTGTTAGAAAGCTGGTTTACAAGACCGAAGCTCTGCGTAAACCGCAAAATAGCCCTTTTTGACATGTTTTGTGGCCTGTTCGGTGTGTGCCTTCACAAACTCTTTGACCGCCTCCTTGAAGCCATCGTCGGAGTCACCAGCGCCAGAGCTCCCACCAGCGCGGTGCGCCTGCAAAGTGCTCCCAGCGCACGCCGCCTGCACGCGCAGAGCACAAACGACCATCGCTGGAGTGACCTTGAACGCCTTCCAGCTCTCTGGATTGCCCTCCGAAGCGAAAGGCAAATCTCCAGGTTTGAAACCTGTTTTGATCACTTCGCGCTTATACTCGTCGGCGAAGTCTTCGGGCTGCGTGCTGTGCACGGTGTCCGCCAGGAGACGGGCCACCCCAGTGTAGAACCGAACGTCGTGCTCGCTGCGTGGATTGACCTCGACACCCAGCACTGCGTCCATCCACTGCTGGCGCGATGCCTCGTCAGCCCCGTTGAACGCAGAGCTGGGCAGGCCCTCGAGGTCAGCACGGATCTCACTGGAGGTGTACGATGCCATCGCGTGCACCGGCGAGCGAAGTTGAAAGTTAAGACACGCAGAGTGCCGAAACTGAGCTGTTGGAGGTTTGTCGAAACACAGCCTGTGAATCTGAGCCTGAGCAGCAGCAGCGCGGATGAGCGAGGGACCTGCGGCAGCCAGTGAAGACCCACACAGACGACAAAATCCTGCCGCATAGCGAACACCTTGCGGGAGCCAGACCGCTGACCGAGGCCAGCGACGCTTGCAGGAGACGCACGAGTGCCCTTCTGGGCCTGGCACGCCTCGGGCGCATCACACTTTTGCCCTTCCGGGCAGAACCAGACAGACAGACAGACAGACCGACCGACCGACGGACGGAGACAGACCACGGACAGACCGACGGACCACCGCCCCCGAGAAGGGCAAGGCGCGCGGAAAGGGAAACTTCCCTTCACGACCCCAACACACGAATCCACCGTTGGTGAGGGTGAGGCACTGAGGCAAAGAGGCCAGGAGGCGTAGAGCACAAACGCTCCTCAAATTTCACTGCCCCCGAAATCGCTACGCAATTTAGGGGCGACGAAACCAGAACCCCACCGAGGAGGAGTTCAGGCTCCACCTTGAAAGCCAGGAGGCCAGCCGCGATTCCAGATGCCCCTCTCCTTCCAGCTGGACCACCACAGCGGGTTCTTTCGAGCCCGGGTGGTGTCCCGTAAGTCTTGGGAGCAACGGTCCGCCCTGTCTGCCCTCTCGCGGACGAGCAGAGCAAAGGTGCCCCCGGCCCCGGGAGCGGAGCCGGGGCGCCACCTCGGAAAGCCGGGGGAGGGGATCACCCTCCCCAGTCCGGGCCAAGAAGGGCCCCCCCCCTGCGGCTCAGGACCCACCCGGTGCGGGAGGGGAGGCGAAGCCCTTCCGAGGGTCATCGAGGAGCAGAGCGTCGGAGGCGGCCAGCACAAGCGGATCGCTGTCACCCGGCATCACGTGGAGGCGGCAGGCGGCCAGGCGGGAGGGACCGCGCCCAAACCCCGCGCGCGGCGCGGCATGGGAGTCATGGAGGTGCCCTGTGTCCACGCGCGGGTGGCCCCCCACTTTTTATTCGTCGGGGCCAACGGGACCTCCCGCTACATCTGCTGCCACCTCTGCAGGATGGGGGCAGGCGCGCACCTGGTGGTGGCCAAGAAGCAGATGGAGGAGATTTGGAGGTTCCTGGTGATGCGCCTGATCTTCACCATGGAGGGGCGCAGGGCGCGGGCCAAGTTTCAGATCCGTGGAAGACGGGACTTACGGAGGCCCCCTTGCCCCCGCCCCCAGACAGCCGCCTCGTCCGGCTGGTGATCGGGGAGGACCGAGACCCTGCCTTGGTCGCCGACCCTCGCGACCCGAGGCGGCCAGTCCAGACGAGGGAGCGCGCGGGAGCCGGCGCACTCACGCAGCGGGTATCCGCCTTCCTCGGAGGGCTCTGGCCCGCGGGGCCCCGGGAGGAGGACGAATCCCCGCGGGGCCGCCGAGCGGTCGCACACCTCGACCGCGCCACCCTGCGCGTCCCCGAAGGCGTTCCCGGGCACCTAGACTGGGGCGGCAAGACCTTCCTCACCCTCCTCCGGGAGCACCCCGAGCGGCGCCGCCAGCTCCGCCGCCGCCGGCAGGAGCCCCGTCTCCACGCGCTTCACAAGTTTCGGGATTGGCTGTGGGAGGAGTCTGCCTCGGGGAAGGAGACGGAGGACGAGCCGGCGGACTGTGCAGGAGCGGGGAGCGACAACCCCGATTACTACGCCCTGGACGTCAAGCCCGACGCCCACATCGCGCGGATCTACTTCCCCGCGCCGCCGCCGCGCGAAGAGGGACCCCCGGAAGCGGATGCGCGCACGACGGTGCCAGGCTGCAGCGTGCGCTACAGTCCTCTCCTACCATCCCAGGTCCCCAGCGGGAGAGGAAAGGGGGAGGGAGGCCCGGCAACGGGTGCTCCGGGGAGAGGGGCGCCCAGTGGGCCCGGGGGCGTCCCCCCACCGGCGGGGCCCCCACTCCCGAAGGAGAGAGGTCGCGGGGCGACCGCAGGAGGGGGCGCGCCAGCCCAGGGCGCGGGGGGCTTCAGCTGTGCCACACAAGGCCACCCCAGCGCTCCCGGCGGCCGGGGCTCCCACGCCGGGCAGCGGAGAGAGGAGCACGGCGCCTGCAGCGGGCGCCGAGCCCCAAGGCGCCACCCCGCCCCCGGCGGAGCTCCCTCCACTTCGGACCGCATGCGTGATCGCAACCATGCGGGGTCCACCTTCCTCGGTCTTGGCCCTAGTGGAACTCCGCTCAGATGGGCACGGGATGCGGGGAGGCGTCGGCCGTGGTTACCGCTTGGAGGGCCCTGGACGAGCAACTCGGGGTCGCCTTCTTTCTGTCCACGAACTGCGACACCGTCCCCCGCGTCTGGGAATGCCCACAGCACCCTGCGGAAGAGACCCTGGGGCTGCTCACCCCTACGCCTGGCGGCTCCATCCACCCAGGACAGAGCCTACTACCACCACGACCATTCGGCGGTACAAGAGAGCCTGCGGCAGTGGAGGGGCACGCCGGGCAGGGAGTACGTCCTGGTGTCGGTGGATGACTTCCGGAGGCTGCACTTCCCCGCCGCCAGCGCATGATCTGGAGGGCCCTGGAGCAGGCGGAGAAAGTGGAGCGAGTCCGGGCGCGTGCCCAGCCGGAGCCCCCGCCGGAGGGAGCGGCGGGCGCCGCACCCGCATCGGGACGGCGGGGGGAGCGGCAGGCGCCGACCCATTCGCCGCCCGGCCCAGCCTCCGGATCACGCTCCAGGGGATAGCGGCCCCCCAGCACGTCGAGGAGCGTCACTGTCTCCTCCGGGCGCGCCTCATCACCTTCTTGGGCGTCCTCGACACGCCCAGCGACCGGGAAGCCCGGGGCTGCACGCGCGAAGACCTTGTGGCCTCCCTGGAGGAGTCGTACTCCGAGGTTCACCTGGTGTTCTTCACGGAGTCGCGGCGCGCCCTCGCGTTCGCCTCCGGGGTCGGGCCCCCGGAGCTCACCCACAGGCCCGAGGCCGCAAAGAAGCTACTCGAGGAAGGAGATCATGAGAGGGCCCTCCATGCGGCCCTGGGGCCCGGGGTGGCCCCGGTGCAGCGACGGGCGGAGGGGGACCTCGACCCCGCGCGGGAAGCGGAAGAGCCTCCCCCGGAGGAGCCACCCCCGGCACCCGCAGACCTCGGGAGTCGCCCCCGGCCCTGCTGGACCGGCGCAAGGAAAAGCCCAGGACGATTCGGGTGAGTCGGGCGGGAGCGCAAGAGGAGCGCACGAGGAGGACCCCGACGAGGACCCTTACGACTGGGTGGCCAGCTGGATCCCAGAAGGGATGGCGGCGGACTGGGTGCGCACCCCCATGCTGCCGACGGGCGGCAACACCCCCCCCAAGCTGGGTGGAGCTGTGGAAGCCCGAATCCTGCAGGAGATGGGCCACTTCCCCCTGGAGCTGACGGCATGGCTGGACTCCACCATTCGGGTCGGGGGGATGGATGGACCCAGCTGGATGGGTGCCCACGGAGCCTGGACACCCACCGCACCCTCCTGCTCTGCTTGGAAGAGGGAGGCGCGGAGACGGTCCACTACCACCCGAAGAAGATGCTGCTGTTCTTCGTGGAGGCGCGGGAGGTCTACAGGCTGATGCACCTGGTCCAGGGCCCAGTCCCCCAACATCTCAGGCCGCACCGGGATGAGCAAAAGCTCCGAACGGCACGCCTCCCCCCCCCGCCGCTTCGGAAGACCGCGGACGCGTCGCCGGCGGGGAGGCGGACGAAGCCGCGGGGGGGCACCCCGCTGGCGCAGAGAGTGGGGGCCGGAGACCCCTCCCAGATCAGGGCGCGGAGCCGCCTCAGGAGGCGGGAACGCGGAGCCGGGAGGGGGAGCGGACCAGAAGGGCGAGGCCGACCTTGTCGGGGCCGCGCTTGGCTTCGCTATCCGGGTTTTTCCCGGATAGCTCCTTGAGCGCAGATGGTTTCAGATAAGAAGCCCGCTGTGGGTGGTGAGGAGGACACGCCCACCTCCGCCGGTCCACGATCGTCGCAGCAGCTTGCCGGAGCTTGCAGCGGGTCCGGGAGCGTGGCTTCCTAGCGGTTGCCTATACGCGTGGCTCCAGGGTGCGCGAAGCGCTTCGGCAGAGCTTCGGAAGAGCTTCGGCAGTTCTTCCAGGCTCCTAGGCAAATCTTCCTTGCGCGCTTTGCAGGGCCCCACGCATCGTAAACGGCGCCCCTGCAAGCGTCTCCTGCGAGGTTTCCAGCGTCCCGCGCATCGTTTCAGGCAGCCAGGCAGAGGTCCCCGTGCGGCGTTCCGCGCTTGGCTTCGCTATCCGGGTTTGGACGCTTACAATTGGACGCTTACAAGTTGGGCTACATAGGGTTGTTAGAGGAGAAGCCGGCGGGTGCGCGTGCATCGCCGCACTCCCACGCTCCCGCCAGCCCGGCTCAGGGCGCGGCGGAGGACGGGTCTGGGCTGGAGGGGCCGGCCGAGTCACCCGAGCCCCCGGAGAGCGCCCAGCCCAGGCACCCGCGCTTCCATCTGCCGGAGGAAGGGCCCCCGGGGCCCGAGCCGGCACCCCGGGCCGAGGGCCAGGGGCCCCAGGAGGCGGAGCCGGCGGCGCCGGCCGATGGCACCTTCGAGAACCGGGAGCTTTTCTGGTCGGACGCGTGGCTGCAAGCCCCGATGGGTGGCGGCTTCCGCAGCGTCCTGCAGGTCCTGGTGGAGATCCTCGTTGACGAGCAGAGGGCGGGGGCCTCCTCCTCCCCCGGGGGAGAGCGCCTGTTCCACTTGGGGGACTTCAGCCGCAGGGCCCAGGCGAGACTGGGCCAGACCAACGGGCGGATCGCGGAGGAGTACCTGAAGGACGCGTTCGGGGAAGGCGTTCAGACCAACACCAACCCGTCCACCGGGAGAGAGTACAGGATCCCCGAGGTCATGGAGAAGTTGCAGGAGACGAGGGAGGCAGCCCTGCGGAGGAGCCTGGAAGTGACCCGGCCGGAGGCAGAAGCCCCGAGACCAGCCAGGGG